GGGGCTGGGGAGCCCCGGGACACCGCCCCAGGGGTACGCTCGGGGTCCCCCGGCGGGCCCTCCCAGCCCTCGCGCCTCTCCTGCGCCTGGTCGGTCTTCCTCCTCTTGCTGGCCAGCTTCTTGGCCCGCCGCAGGGCCTTCTCGGTTTTGGGCGGCACTGCGGGGGGCTTGCCCGCCGCCCTCTCCATCTGAGCGGGGTGCCCGGCAGAGGCTCTGGGCGACAGCGCCCGCAGGTCTTCTGCCCACGACTTGGCCTGGGGGTCGGAGCCCGCCTCCCATAGCACGGCGTGTGTCAGGTCCTCCCTCCGGGTGACCGGGGCAGAGCCAGGGCTGGCCCAGGGGCCGGCGCGGGGAGGCTCTTCGGGCAGCAGCCCCAGTTCGCTGGGGGCCTGGCAGGCTTCATCCCAAAAGCTGCTGGCGGCTGGGGAGCAGGCACTGCCCTCCCCCAGGGAGCTGGGGTTGGGGGAAGTCACCGTCTCCCCGGGCACCAGCCTTTTCCCAGAGGGCCCTGCTTTGGGGGTAGACAAGAAGTGACTTTTGAAACCTTGTGTCTGCTCTTCCCAACAGGCTCCCAGCGGCTGCGGGGGTGGCTGGTCTTCTATGTCCCCCTCAGGTAGAGTGATGGTGGGGAGCTGCCAGGGGCCCAGCTTCCTCGGGTCTGCTGACTGAGAGGCCTCTGCCCTGGCAGAGTTGAACACCTGCCCAGGGTCTCCTGGGCCCTCATCGGCTTCACACATCAGGTGTGAGCCCTGCACGTTAGCAGGCGTGGGGGTACTGGGCACCTCCTGGCTCCCTGGGGCACACAGGCCAGCATCCTCGCCCCATCCTGGCCTCCTCGACTCTTCCTCTTTGCGGCCAGCTCCCAGTGCGTCCTCAGAGGACATGGCCCTCAAGAGAGGCAGCATGACAGGTCTGATGACGGGGGTGGCCCTGAGGGTGTTGTCTTTAATCGCAAACAGCATGTGCCTGTTAGTGGCAGAAGATGGCGAGGGCGTGAGGGCTTTGGCGTGTGAGGACGCCGTGTCCTTATTTCCCCCTGTCCACGAGCCACTGAAATGAGCTTCCTCTGTGGACGCTTCCACGGACCCCCCTCCAGACAGACTCCCTGCTTCTCTCGGGGACGCCCCCGTGCCGTGTTCTTCCAGGCTCGCGTGCCCATTGCTTAGGACGCAGAGCTGCGACTCATCGTGCTCCTCCTCGTCCTTCCCACTGTCACTTGCACTCACCTCCTTCTTCCTGTCTTCCCGCTGGCTCTCGGCAAACCATGTCTTGTGCTGGTCCTCGAATGACGCAAAGGACTGATCTGAAGAGCTGGTGCTGAACTTGGCCTTACTTTTGAGGCCTGGCATGAAATCGGACTGGGTGTCGCTGTAAAACACGTCCTCCTCCTCGGGAGACAGGGGCCCCGGGGAGACTTTCTGGTTCACATGTGAGCTCTGCAGTCCCACTTCTCTCTCAGGCTCTGTCTCTTGGGAGATGGATCTTGGGAGCCCCCTCTCTAGGTACTGGGTCTTCGATCTCTCCTCAGCCTTTCCAGCCTCTGTCTCCCTATTGCAAAGTTTCAGGGACAGGTGCTTCCTGGGGCGGCGCTCCCTGGAGTCTGGGCCCCAGCTGGACCTGGAAGGACCCATCTCTGACTCTCCATCGGCGTCATGGTCCATCTCGTGACTGCCCTTTTCGGCCACCTCCCCGTTGACACAGAAGGGCGCTTTGGTGACAGCTGGAGGCGAACGAAGGGTTGGATGTGCAGGGGACGCACTGGGGCTGGCTGTGGGGTCCTGGGTGCCGATGTGCCTTGCAGTAGGGGCCTCGGCTGGCCTCTCCTGAGAAAGCTCGTTTGGAGGGCTTTCCTCAAGCCCGTTGGGAAGGAAGACACCATTGCTCAGAGGTTCTTGCTTGCCATCCACCTTGCCTCTGGCTCTCTCATCAGGGCCCTTCAGGAGCGGTAAGGGACTGTAGGTGCTCTTGACGCGCTTCCGCACATCCTTGAGGTTGAACAGCAGACTGGGGGCTTTGGACTTGTAGCTGTCTCGTGCCTGACATTCACTGGGCTCCTTCTCTTGGTACCCGTTTAGCTGGCCTGGGGGTGATAGGGCTAGCTCCTCTGGCTGGCTGTCTGCTGAATCCGGGGCATGCTTGGTGGGTATGATGGGGGTTAGGAGCTTACTGATGTTAAAAGGAGGCTCGTAATGCTCTTTGGGGTCCAGAGGCATGTCAAGAGCTTCATTTTCTGGAAGTTGTCCTTGAGGATTGTGCTTTGTATACAAAGGTGGGCCTCTCCGGTCGGTCCGTTTCTTTTCTTCCAATGCATCCTGCAGGTTTTCTTTCCCTCCCTTGCCAGTCTTTGGTTTCCTCCATGGGGGTTGGGTTGACTTCATCTGAGGTTCAGGCTGTGAGCTGGAAAGTTTCCCCTCCACGGGGAATACCTGGGGTCCTGGATCCTGAGACCCCCAGGGTCCTGCTGCCAGTCTTCCCTCTTCCTGGCTGCAGCTGGCCCGGGCCTGGAAGGGAGAGACTTTGCACTCGGGAGGGTGAGGTTCTCTTAACAAGGGCATGTCCTCATGATGTTGGGGAGCTTTGCTTTCTGGGACAGTTTCAGCAGTGTCCTTTCTCTCGAGCAGCTTTGGTTGGTGGGCATCCCATGACTCAAATGCACTGTTCTCACTGTGCAGAAAGGTCCCTTTGTGGACCCAGTCCTTTCCTCTTCCAGGCTCACCCTTGGCTGGCTTGTGAGGTGGAGAGGGGAATTTTGAGCTAGCTGTGTTGTCGGGTGTTGGCAGGAAGCTGCTGGAGCCATGGCACGTCATTTCAGGGTTCTTAGGGGACCCCTGTTCTCCATGCTTCCTGCCTGGTTGGTGGCTGCTCTGGTGGGTGCTGGAGACTTCAGCAGGCACCCTCCTGACAGTCAAAAAGGCAGAATCAAAGCAGAAGTTGACTCCACTTTCTGGAAGAGGAGCAAATTTGGGGGGATTTTTCAGGGCCGGAGGCTTGCTGGTAGGAGGCCTGCTGTCACAATGATGGCTCTCTGTCCTATCGAAAGATTTAATTAACGACGATACTTTGGAAATGGGTTTGTTGCTGCTCCTCAGGCCGGAAACTGGCACTTCCAGTCTCTGCTGAGCTGGCGTAGGTGGGGGGCTGCTTTTGGGGTATTTTTCCTCCCCTTGGACATACTTGGGTAGTTGTTGGAAGGTGGATGCCCAGCCGGCGTGCTCTGTGCTCTGTGATGGTAACTGGCTCCAAATGCCACTTTTCCTGTGTGCGTGGCTCACTGTTCCCTGAAAAGTCCCAAACACCTGGCGGGTGATATCCGGGGATCGGGCTAGGTCCGAGTCATGGAAAGAAGTGTCCTCTGAGATGCACAAGCTTCGGAATGCCCTGTCCGTGAGGCTGCTCACCTCCCTGTCCGCGTCATCCAGCACGCTGCCAATGCTCGAGGAGTCACTGAGCCCGTCTGTGCACTTCTTGTTCCCCTGCATCTTCTGGAGAGGACTGTCCTCGCCCGCTGGTGGGGCCCTCCGGTTAGGATTCTGGCAAAAGTTCAATGCGGTCCTCTTCCCACAAGATTAGAGCCCCTTGTTGACTGGATACAACTACAAAGTGATTTTCTATGGGAAAAAAAGTGCAGAACATTAGCATTACATACAACTTAGTAGCTTTGTGCAAGACTATCTGCTGGTTCAAGTGAGTAGTGGGGCCCATCATAGTTAATTTTATGTGTCAGCCTGGCAAGCCTTCTGCACCATTTTTGATTAAACATTAGTCTGGATGTCGTTATGAAGGTGTATATGTGTGTGTGTGTGTGTGTGTATATATATGTGTGTGTGTATATATATATAGTTTTTTTTTAAAGATGTGGTTAACATTAAAATCAGTAGACTCTGAGAAAATATTAGGTCATTGGGAAAGTCAGGATGTATTTTTCTGTTTTTATATGTAAAAACGCATCCTGACTTTCTCAATGACCCAATAGTTTGCCCTCCAAAATGGAGGCAGGTCTTATTTAACCACTTGAAGACTTGATGAGAAAAAAGAAGACTGATCACAGGTAACAAAAGCAAAAAAAGAAAAAAAAAAGAAAAAAAGACATGTGGGAATACATCAAGCTTAAAAGCTTCTGTACAGAAAAAAAAATCAACAAAATGAACAGAACCTATGAAATGGGAGGAAATATTTGCAACTCACATCTTATATAAGGTTAAAACCCAAAAACCATAAAAGATTCCTTCAAATCAATAGTCTCTGTCCTATCGAAAGATTTAATTAACGACGATACTTTGGAAATGGGTTTGTTGCTGCTCCTCAGGCCGGAAACTGGCACTTCCAGTCTCTGCTGAGCTGGCGTAGGTGGGGGGCTGCTTTTGGGGTATTTTTCCTCCCCTTGGACATACTTGGGTAGTTGTTGGAAGGTGGATGCCCAGCCGGCGTGCTCTGTGCTCTGTGATGGTAACTGGCTCCAAATGCCACTTTTCCTGTGTGCGTGGCTCACTGTTCCCTGAAAAGTCCCAAACACCTGGCGGGTGATATCCGGGGATCGGGCTAGGTCCGAGTCATGGAAAGAAGTGTCCTCTGAGATGCACAAGCTTCGGAATGCCCTGTCCGTGAGGCTGCTCACCTCCCTGTCCGCGTCATCCAGCACGCTGCCAATGCTCGAGGAGTCACTGAGCCCGTCTGTGCACTTCTTGTTCCCCTGCATCTTCTGGAGAGGACTGTCCTCGCCCGCTGGTGGGGCCCTCCGGTTAGGATTCTGGCAAAAGTTCAATGCGGTCCTCTTCCCACAAGATTAGAGCCCCTTGTTGACTGGATACAACTACAAAGTGATTTTCTATGGGAAAAAAAGTGCAGAACATTAGCATTACATACAACTTAGTAGCTTTGTGCAAGACTATCTGCTGGTTCAAGTGAGTAGTGGGGCCCATCATAGTTAATTTTATGTGTCAGCCTGGCAAGCCTTCTGCACCATTTTTGATTAAACATTAGTCTGGATGTCGTTATGAAGGTGTATATGTGTGTGTGTGTGTGTGTGTATATATATGTGTGTGTGTATATATATATAGTTTTTTTTTAAAGATGTGGTTAACATTAAAATCAGTAGACTCTGAGAAAATATTAGGTCATTGGGAAAGTCAGGATGTATTTTTCTGTTTTTATATGTAAAAACGCATCCTGACTTTCTCAATGACCCAATAGTTTGCCCTCCAAAATGGAGGCAGGTCTTATGTAACCACTTGAAGACTTGATGAGAAAAAAGAAGACTGATCACAGGTAACAAAAGCAAAAAAAGAAAAAAAAAAGAAAAAAAGACATGTGGGAATACATCAAGCTTAAAAGCTTCTGTACAGAAAAAAAAATCAACAAAATGAACAGAACCTATGAAATGGGAGGAAATATTTGCAACTCACATCTTATATAAGGTTAAAACCCAAAAACCATAAAAGATTCCTTCAAATCAATAGCAAAGCAAAACAAAACAGTCAAAAAGAAAAAAACAAACAAACAAATGACCCAATAAGTGGACTAAGGAACTGAATAGATGTTTTTCCAGAAAACATACACAAACAGCCAAGAAGTATAAGTCAAACTGAGGTATAGGGTCAACTTCACTAATCATCAGGGAACTTTCAATCGAACCTGCTGTGAGATGCCACCTCGTGCTTGGTAGAATGGCTATCATCAAGAAACCTGCAATGACAGATGTTAGCAAGAACGTGGAGAATGTGACACCTTGCACACTTGGTGAGATGTAAATTTGTACAGGCACTATGAAAACAATATGAAGATCCCTGAAAAAAAAATATATGGGATATATATATCCAAAGGAAATGAATTCAGGATTTTAAAGAGATAGCTGTACCTCCATTTTTATTGCAGCATTATTGTCAATAGCCAAGACAAAGAAACAACTGAAAAGCCCATTGATGGGTGAATGGATAAAGAGAATGTGCTATATGCAGGGAATGAATCGTGAATATTATTCTACCTAAAAAAAATGAAGAAATCCTGCCAGTCATGGCATCATGGGTGAGCCTGGAGAACACATATTAAATGAAACAAGTCAGACACAGACAAATTACTTCCATGTATCACTTCCATGAGGAATCTAAAACAGTCGAACCTGTAGAAACGGAATGTAGAACCATGGTTTCCAGGAGCTATCAAGAGAGGGAAAATGGGGAGTTATTGCTCAAAGGGGATGAAGTTCGAATTATGCACGATGGATAAGTTCTAGGAGCAGCCTGGTTGTGTTGTTGGTAGCAAACCGCACAGCAGTGCTGGAAGCCACAGGACCAACTGTGGGTTTGGATACTTGGGTTGGCCTGAAAACACTGGATGCACAGGTGCATGTGCACATGCCCAAGATTCTGAAGAGTGGGAGGGCCAGGGAAAGGGAACCACGGTATGACAAGACTCTGTCGAGGGTGCTTTTCTCTCTCATGTAGGTGGATGTGTTCTCTATCATGAATAAAGTAAGCTTAAAGAATACTCTATCGGGGACCAGCAAGTGGCGCAGTGGTTAAGAAGCTGGACACTCCCACATGGCTGACCACGGTTTGAGTCTCGGACCTAGTGGCTTGCTTTCTCATTTTCCCTCTCTCTCTCTCTCTCTCTGTGTGTGTGGTCAGATTAAAATAAATGAATAAGTAAAAATTAAATAAAGAATTCTAAAGAAATACTCTATCATATACTTGCCAGCTTGGTGAAAGGGCAGATATTATCACGCACACGCACCTATGCACACAGATAGGAGATAAAGGGGCTGGGAGGGAACTTTTGGAGGTGACGAATAGGTTTATGGCACAGATCGTGGCGATGGTTTCATAGGTGTAGTGTACACTTACCTCAAACTCACTGAGTTGTTTACAGTAAATACATATAGCTTCTTTTTATGTTAATCTTATCTCAATAAAATGTCTTAATAAAAGGACCAAGGTCCCCCTAGGAAGAGGGACTTCTGCTCCAGACTGTCTTTGGACTGGAGCTACATCACTGATTTCTCCTGGGTCTCCAGGCTGCGGGCTTCCCCCGCAGATTTCAGACTTGCCAGATTCCACACCCACACGAGCCAGTTCTTTAACCCAATGCTCTCTCCTCACCCCCTCCACACACACACACACACACACACACACACACACACACGCACACTCACACACACACACACCCTATTCATTCTGTTATTCTGGAGAAGCCAGAATACTAGTGTGGTGCCCAAAGTTCCGATGTGTTATTTTTGCAGGATCTTTCTCTGACATTTCACGATGTGTGCTGTGTTTGAATGTGTCCCCTCTCCCCCCAAATTCACATTGAAATTTGGCTCCTATTATGCTTTATTTATTTATTTTTTATGTTTTTGCCATAGGGCATGTGCATTCACCAGAGAGACAGTGAGAGGGAAAGTGAGAAATCTCCTCCCAGGGAGAATGGCCATGCTGTTATCCCTTCTCCATTCTTCTTCTGGAATTCTGGGCATGTATGCACATGGGCCTGGCATGATTATTTTAAAAGAGGTTTCTGCCACAGGGCACTTGTGTTCGATGGAGAGAGAGAGAGTGCCAGGGACAGTGAGAGGAAAAGTGAGAGATCACCCCCACTCCCCAAGGGATGGCCATGCTGCAATCCCTTCTTCATTCTCTTCCTGGAATCTTGAGTACGCAGGTACACATGCCAGGCATGATTTTCAAGCCACTGGGCTAGGGACACGAACCAGAGTCAGCCATGTGTGAGTCTAGTGACCTAACCACTACATTACCCGCTGGTCCCTCTATCGTGAAATTAAGAGGGTGGGAACTTGATCTACCTATGATATTAAGAAGTAGAGCCTTTGGAAGAAGGATTAGATAAGGCCATCAGGGTAGTGCTCCTGTGATTGAATTCTGGTGGATTTGTAAGAACAGGAGTGTCTAGAGCTGACACATAGGCTTGACCTCTTGCCAAATGGTGGGTGCCTGCACTGTCTTGAGACTCTGCAGAGAGTCCCCACCAGCAAGGAGGCCCTTACCAGATGAGGTCTCTTAACTTTGGCCCTCTAGAACAGTGAGCTGAATAAACTTTCATTCTTAAAAATCATTATTTCTTCCGGGACCAGCAGTTAGCGTAATGGCTATGTTGCTGGACTCTCATGTAGTTGACTGCGGTTTGAGTCCCGAGCCAGGCGGCTTAAACTCACGCTGGGTGCGTGTGCGTGCATGCCCAAGATCCTGAGAGGAGAATGGAGGAGAAGGGATTGCGGTGTGGCCATCCCCCTAGGGGGGTGATTTCTCGCTTTCTGTCTCTCTGTCTCTGTCTCTCTGGCGAGCGCACGCGCCCTATAGCGTAAACCTCTCCAAAAAAAAAAAAAAAAAAAAAAAGAAAGATTTCTTCCATTCTGCTCTAGCCCCATTTTTCTGTAGCTGTAACTGAGTGTTACTGACTGAGGAATTTACAAAGAATAAAGGGTGTGGCCAGCTGCAGTGGCACAACAGTGAAATACGGCTCTGCAAGGTGGAAGCCAAAGGCAGGTCCCAGGTTCATGTCCCAAGGTCTCCGTATACGTGTTGGGTGCCCTTGTCCGAACCTGTGACCCTGACGGGCTGAGGCTGGGGCTGAGGTGTGGTGTGACGATCCTGGGTGGTCCTTCCCCCTCTCTCTGCTTCTCTCTCTCTAATGGAAGAAAGAAACAGTTTGGTACAGGCCATGTGCACCCACCAGAGAGAGACAGAAAGAGGGAGAAGAGAAAGTACCCCTGATGAGGCATGGTCACACTGGAACCCCTTCTTCACTTTTCAGTTTTTTTTTTTTTTTTTGAGAGGTTTTCTCTATAGGGCGCGTGCGCTCGCCAGACAGACAGAGACATTTTTCAGTTTTTGAAGAACCTCCAGCTTGTTTTCCTAAGCAGTTGAACCATTTTACAGTCCCACTGCAAAGGTTCCAATTTCTCCATATCCTCATCAACACTTGTTTTCTATTTATTTAGCAGTTTTGGTACTGTGCTTTACACAGAAAAGTGATAGAGTGCATGCACATGTGTATGTGCGTGCGTGTGTGTGTGTGTGCGTGTGTGTGTGTGTGTGTGTGTGTGGTGCCCTTGACAGGTCTTATCATGTTGTGATCCCCTTTCCCAAGCCCTCTAGATCTTCGGGATTTGGGCAGCCTTGCCAAGTACCCAGAGTGTTTTCATGCTGACCAGGGAATCCAAACCTGTGGCCAGCCATGTCGCTTCCTGCACTGCAGTCTAGTATGTCACAGACTGTGCCATCTAGGCTGGGATTGTTTTTTGGAACCCATCTTAACAGGTATGAGGTGGCGTACTGCATTCTCTGGATGCTGTCTGGGGGTGCTGCTTCTTTCTGGGACTCTGACTGCTCCCCTTGAGAGGCATATCTCTAACCTAGAACAGTGCCTGGCTCGCAGTAGGAGATAAATGAGTAAGTACATAGAAAGAGAAAATAGCAAGTGTAGACCCTGGAGTGGCACCAGGTGGTGGGCATGAGGGGCAGCGAATGGCTCGGAAGGTGCTGGGAAGTCCTTACCTAACGGACGCAGCATTGCCAACGACGGCCCGTTCGCAGCAGCAGGAGCTGACCTGGCTGGGCTATGCGCTTCCCTCCTTGCTTGGCCAGCCTTTGTAACAATGCTGTCAGGCCTTTAGGTGGAAGGTGAAGGTGCTCCCATCAGGGAGGTGGGGCTTGCATCTCAGGCGGTCTAGATTCTGTCTGGCTTCACATTTCTTTGCTGAGGAACAAGGGTTGGCTGCCCATGACCTCAGTATATGAGGGGTCTTCAAAAGTGTTCATGGAAAATGTGTATTATGAAAAAACTATGCATGAACATCAAAAATAATTTTTCTGTACCACAATAACTCCACGGGCTTTTTTGAAGTCCCCCTTGTTTCCCTCACCTAGATGTGTGCTGTGTGATTCTCTGCACTCTGTTTCTCTCTGCGGTGCCCCAGGAGGCTGCCGACTGCCCGAGGACCCATAGCACTGAGCTAGCTGCTGTGCCGTCGGCGGCTGTCTGCTGTGGTGGAGCCAGCCTGCACTGGGGCCGCTTCCTGTCTCTGACCACAGCACTACAGTGAGTTCCCAACACCCATTCACTGGCAGGCCGACTTGCTTTTGTGAATGAAAGAACTGAGTTGCGGTTGCTGGAGAAAGAGCAAGAGCTGAGTTCAAGCTGCTTGAATGAGTGGACAGGACTGCCGACCTGCTCTGGGAGCCCGGCTTCCTCACGTGCTCCTCAGACCTGCTTGGGGCTCAGTCTGCCAGGCCTGGGAGGGCATATATGGCATGTGTTTCCTAGAAGACGAACAAGGGGGTGACACCTGCCCAAGTTGTGGGGAGGGGGCAGACCTGCTGGCCGGCTGACCTCAGACCTTCCCTCAGTTCTCCTTCATCTCTGCCACTTACAACATTGTAGAAGCCTATGCGCTTGTCCTCAGGTTCCCTCACAGCCGGCCTGCTCAGGGGGCACAGTCCTAGCCAGCTCTTGTTTCTAGTCAAAGGCGCAATCGCTGTGACCCCTATTCTTGGTGCCCCTTCCTCTTGCTTTGTTTGCAGACCACCTGAAATCCAGTGCATTTTGCTGGGGCTACTGGAAGAAAGTTCAGAGGCTCCTTGACTTATGATGGGGGTACAATGCAATAAGCCTACCGTGAGTCAAAAATATTGTGAGCTAAAATGCATTTAGTACCTCTAACCTACCAAACATCAGAGCTTAGCTGACCCCACCTCACACAGGCTCAGGACGCTCGATGAGCCTACATTGGGCGAAATAATCTACCACAAAGCCTGCTTTATAATCAAGTGTTGAATGGCTCGTAGAGTTTGTTGAACACTGAACGTGAAAGTCAGAATGTCAGAATGGTTAGGTGGGTACTTCAAGTGCAGTTTCTACAGAATGCATATTGCTTTTGTGTTGTAGTCAAGTTGAAACAGCGAAAGCTGAACGATGGTAAAAGGCACCATCTGTACCACGAGCTGAGGGCTTAAACAACAGGGACGTGTTTTCTACAGTTCTGGAGGCCAGACATCCCAAATCATGTCAGTAGGGAAGGCTCGTCTAAGGGCTGTGAGGGAGGACCTGTTCCAGGCCTCTCTCCTGGGCTGTAGACAGTCATCTGCTTCCTATCTTGACATGGTCTTCTCCCTGTGCTTGTCTTTATGTCCATATTTTCCTTTATTTCTTTTTTCTCCTTTTCATATTTTTGGCAAGGTCTCACTAGCAATCCTCCCATTTCAGTCTTGCCATTGCATTGAGCTTTCAAGATGGGCTGGTAATCTGACCCTGGGCTTCCATGGGGCCTCAGCCTGCCAAGTAGCACCATCAACCGTGGCTTAGCCAGGATTTCCCTTTCGGATGAGGATATCGGTCATACTCGATCGGGGCCTATCTTAATGCACTCTTCTTAATGAAAACCACCTGTAACAGCCCTTTATCCAACTAAGGTCACATTCTGAGGTAGTGCGGGTTAGGATTCAACATGGGGACTTTCGGGAGACAAACTTTAACACTGAGACATTCACTTTGCACCCCAAGGGAAAGCAGTGAAGACTGAAGGCCAGCTTGCTGAGGATGGCAGGGTGGGCAGGTGAGTGGTCCCCTGTCCTTGATAGCACTGCTAAGCTGTGATTCTGTGACAGAAGCCCCCACTTGGCGATTCATGTTATTGGGGACAGGGGGTGGGGACCTTAGTGGCTTTGACCACTCTAATTCAGCTTTTCTATCCCTTTGAGAGTCTTCCAATATGAGGGAACTACAAAATGAAATTAAAGTACAAGTTTACTTTGGTTCCAACAAATTTAGAAATTCTTGCATAATTTTTTCATCACATGGAGTCCCGTGAAGTTTTCGAAGGTCTCCTTATATACTCAGAAGGTCTCCTGGTGTCCTGAATGCTGAGTTTTGATATTGGCGGTCATTGCACTCAGTTAACACTGGAGTTTCTCCACTTCCACATTAAGATGAAAATAGGAGAGTTGGAGACCTACATTTGGAATTTTAGAATGAAGTCTAAAGAGCCCCTAGGCCATTAAACACCTCCTACTATCAGCAGGTATTTGCTCTCTATATTTTTTTCACACTTGGCTTTCACTCCCTGCCTCCCAATTTTTTTTTTTGGAATAAAAACATTTAACACCTTTTAGAAATTTCCTCTCTCCATGGTCTTCAGCCTTGGTGTGGCTGAAAGCCATGGTGCCCAGTGCAGCTGTGAGACAGGACAGGCCCCCTTATTGACTCCATCTCCTGGGGTTGCACAAGAAGGGGAATGTGCCTGAGGGCTGGCCATTCCCAGACCTTTCCTCCTCTGGAACTTCAGCCTGTTCCTTGAGTCTACGAGACCTTCACTTTCAATATTTATCCATTTCTGCTTCATTTGTCCAGTTTTTGTTTTTGTTGCTTGTGACCAAAAACCCTAACTGACCTTGGGTTTGCCTCAGAATTTCAAGTGGTAGTGAGGATGCTTACCGATATTCAGAGCATTCAGAAAGCAACCACATTACTTCTGCCTCAGGAAAAAGAGACACTGCCCTTCCCTTGCTACCATTCATTCAAAAAATTTCTTCAATTCCGATTTGATGTACCTGGAGTGAGATGGGACTGCAAGAACTTGGCCTCATCTTCTCCCTGCCCAGTGAGGCCCTTCAGCTATGGCCAACTACAGAAGGGTCTCCGGAAGCCAGCCTTGGGGTTGGTTCCATACCTGTTACAGCAGCGGGGGCTGCGGGGGCCTGCCTTGCCGGGTTTTAAGATCTGTAGTTTCCAAACTTCTTTTCATGCTTAGATTTGGTGTCATCACTGTTCATCTAGAAATAAGAAGAAAAGTAATTGCAAAGGAGTCCAGCTGACCAGACAGCCCAGCTAGTATTCCGTGGGAAATGCCAATAATACAGCAATGCAGTCACCCTTGCATATTGTTTTCTTCCAGAGCCACCTTGTGCTCAACCAAATTTACTCACGGGCATTTTGGGTGAGAATCAACATAGGTGGCAATTCATATTGCTTCCAAGATTCATGAATTTGTCCATAATGTCAGGAACCTGTTTCAAGCTTTTGGGATTTCTAGTATGATCGGCCCAGTTGTGAGTAATTTTTGCTAGTAAAAGCTAACAATTAATAACAGTTCAGAAAACTGGAGTGGCCAAGCTCAAGTCCACTCAGCAAGGTGTAGCCCATTGTGTGATCTGATGTTGGCAGGAGGCTCGAGTATCTATTTTGACAGCTAGAAGAACCAAAAAGCTGCCCAGGAGAATTTCCAGAGAGCTCAGAATGAAGTGTAAACTAATTAAAATAAATCCACTATGCAAATTTTAAATGCAAACCGTTGGGGCCTCCCCAAGACCTTCCCCAGCTTGTAGCTCCTGGATATTAATTTAGTCCAAGGTAGTTTATTAATAATATTAATAATCATAATAACTCAAATTTGTGAAGTTTATTTCTTTGGAGAATCACAGAGGTGTTTTGTGTCTGCTGCCATACGGGGAGGTCCGTCCCTGACTCCCCACACTGCTTGAGAGGGGCCTCCTTCGTGTCCCCATGGCCTGCTGGGTTTACCTTTTCTGTAGCTCTTGACGTATTGTCACAGAGCATGTATCATAACCCATATGTTTTAGGAGCTGATGAGTGCTCCTTTCTCTCTTCAACTAGAAAGAAAGCTCCTGCAGCTCAGGAAGGCAGCCTTACTTGGCTTTGTGTAGTGAGCACAGAGTCCTAGAAGTTCAGTACATGTTTGTGGCGATGCTCTAAATTGAGTATCTTTACCTTGATTTTTAAAATTTCCTGGAAGTCGAACTGAGGCACAGAAAAAAGGGAAGATAATGTTTTATTGAGAAAGATCTCTAGTCTTATGTCTTAAGGTTATCTGGAAACTTTGGATAGATCCATTCACGTTACTCAGTGAACCCACTCCACTGCTTGCAGCTCCACCGAGATAGGACTTAATGAGGACGCCCCACATGGACGAGACTTAGAGGCAGAATGATATGGCGGCATTTCTTCTCTGAAGATTCTGGGGACCTCTTGGCCTGAGCTTGGGCTCTCCCTTTAAGCAGTTTCCCATGGACTCACTGTCATTGCTGCAGCAATGCAATTCCCAGAGGCCAGCCCAAAAACTCTCTTTCTCATGACGTTGAGCCATTGACCAAGCCACCCAAGTGGGTGGAAAGCCTGGCTCCTGAAGCCCTTCTTAGGTAAAAGAGTGCGATTACCATCAGATGATAGGACTGAGGACCAACTGCATGTGACTGAGCCATGTTGTAAAGGAGGTCTTGGGTTCTGGCCTAATGAATACATAGAAAAAAAGGAATAATCACGCAATGATAGATTCCCATTTATGTCTACTGCCTTTGGAAACGGCCTTGCTCTCTTTAGTTCTTCCCATCCCCATCATAATGACTCACATTTGTGAAGTTTATTTGGAGACTCACAGAGGTGTTTCGTGTCTACTGCCATCCCCTTACCTCCGTACTTCCTTAACTCATGTTTCCCTGCTGTAGGTACTCACTGGCCCTCTGCCTCCTTCTCTTCCCAGTTGGATCTTCCTAAGGGTATGTTTTGCTCTTGATTTGCTTTAACCTCTAGGCTGTAATCAAGGCTGTTGGCCACTAGTTCTTGAAATACACTCTCACTTCAACTCTTTGCTTCCCCCTCCTGGCTGGCCGTTCAGTTTCTCATCTTCCTCTCTGATTATTGGGTTTCCTCTGCTCTCAGCCACGGGGCGTCTTTTCTTCTCACTCTGCAATCTTGACAAGGGTGATTTTACTTTACCTACATCCATGGTCTCAGTGAGCATCCACACATTGAAGCCACATCCATGCCAGGACACTTGTCTGGCACCAGCACATGTCTCTAACTGCCCACAGCATGGCTCCTCGCCACGTCTCAGGGCCCTTCCTTCAAATGCACGTGTGTAAAACAGAACCCGTGAGCTCCCGTGAGCCCTTCTCTCTCTGGAGATCCCGGAAGCCTGAGAGTCACTTGTGACTTCTCCCTCCTTCCTATGTCTTCCCCCATTCATCTGCTTCTAAGTCCCACGGGTTTCACATTATTAAACTCCCTTCCTATAGACTGGCACCTATGGCCATAGTCACCATGTGTGCCAAGCTACTGTCACATCTACTTTGGGAAGGAGCCATATTCATTCATGCACTGCACCTAGAAGCAGCTTTTAAAAATCAAATCTACTCATGCCAGCCTCTTGCTTAGAATCTGTTAACGGCATCCCGGTTTTCAAGAATGAAAACCTTAACAAGGAATCCCCCCTTTATTATTTTTTTAAATTATTTATTTATTTTAATTTGATCAAAAAGGGACAGAATGAGAGCGAGAGAGAGAGTGAGAGCGAGAAAGCAAACCACCAGGGCCAGGACCTGAAATGCAGTCATCCACGTGGGAGTCCAGTGACCTTAACCATTATGGCTCCTGCCAGCCCCTAAAATTTCTATTTTTAAGTTGACATGTAGTGATTGTACGTATGTATGGGGTATAAAGTGATGTTTTGATACATGCATGTAAAATGAATAATAATAAAATTTGAATATTAATATATCAATCAATTAAAACCCTTATCATTTCCTCATGGAAAGAACATGCAAGATATTTTCTTGTAGATATTTTGAAATATACAACATATTGTGTTAACTATCGTCACCCTTCTGTGCAACAGAACAATAGACTCCCACTGCACCTCTCCTCATGCCCTCTTTCCTACCCTTCACACCCTCTGGTAACCAATATTTTACTCTCTAGTCTATGAGATAGCTTTGTTTTTAGATTCCACAGATGATAGAGATTATGTGGCATTTGTTTTTCTGTGCCTAGCTTATTTCACTTAACAATGATCTTCGGGGACCAGCAGGTGGCATGATGGTTAAGGTGCTGGACATTCCCACGTGGCTGACCATGGTTCAAGTCCTGGACCTGGTGGCTTGCTTTCTCACTTTCTCTCTCTCTCTCTCTCTCTCTCTGGTCAAAATAAAATAAGTAAATGAATAAATAAAATTAAAAATAAATAATTCTTTAAAAACAACAACAATAAAAACAATGATCTTCAGGTCTATCCATGTCTCCGCAGAGGACAGGATTTCCTTCTTTTATGGCTTAGTAGCATTCCATTGTGTAAATATACCACATTTTGTTTATCCATTCATCTGTTGATGGATACTTAGATTGATTTCACGTCTTGGCTATTGTGACTTGTGCCGCAATAAACACGGGAGTGCAGATTTCCTTTCCTTTGGATAAATGCCCAGTAGTGGGACTGCTGGGTCATGTGGCAGGTCTATTCTCAGTGATCTGAGGAACCTTCATACTGGCTCCCATAATGACTGTACTAATCAATATTTCCACCAACAGTATATAGCATTCTTTCTCCATAGCCATGCCACCATTTTTTTTTGAGAATAGTCATTCTAACTGAGGTGAGATAATATCTCATGTAATCTTGATTTCCATTTCCTTGACGATGAATGACTTTGAGTGTTTCTTCATATATCTGATGTCCATTTGTATGTCTTCTTTTGAAAAATGTTCGAAAGTTTTGTTCAAAAATTTTTTTAATTGGATTGATTTTTTTTGCTATTGAGTTGAATTTCGTATGTATTCTAGATAGTAAACCGTTGTTGGATGCGTAGTCTGCAAATATTTTCTCTCATTCTGTAGGTTGTCCTGATTCTGTTGATTCTTTTGCTATGCAGATTGAAAAACAATTGATATCTCACTTGTCTGTTTTTGTTTTTGATGCCTGGGCTTTCGAAGTTTTATACAAAATCTTTTTGTCCAGATCAATGTCATGAAGCATTTTATTTATGTTTTCTTAGTAGTTTCATAGTCGTTGGTCTTATTTTTATACCATTAATCCACTTTAAGTCTTTTTTTTTTTTGTAACTGGTGAGGAATAGGGGTCAAGTTTCATTCTTCTTTATTTTTTAAATTTTTTTATCTTTTATTTTTTTCCACACCAGACAGATGTGTTTTGTTAAAGAACAAAAACAAAAAAACTTTCATCAGAAAATCTGGTTAAATTCATTATGAACTCAAGCTCTTAAAAAATCTTCTGAGGAAGCCACAAGATACATCAGAGAAAAGCAGATAACAGTTGTCAATTCTTTGGTGGAAAAATAGTTGCATACTTACACAAGCTGCCCTAAAGATTATCAAGCCCAAGTTTCATTTCTTGGAGAGTTTTTTTTTTTTTTTTTTCCTATAGGGCCCGGCACCTGCCACAAAATCCTATAGGGCACGTGCACTTGCCAGAAAGAGAGAGAGACAGAGAGAGACAGAAAGCGAGAAATCACGCCCCAGGGGGTATAGCCATGATGCAATCTCTTCTCCTCTATTCTCTTGGGATCTTGGGCACGTATGCACAAGTGCCCAGCGTGAGTTTAAGCCACTGCATCCGAGACTCGAACCGTAGTCAGCTACATGGGAGTTCAGCGACATAGCCATTACGCTAACTGCTGGTCCCAAGCCCAAGTTTCGTTTCTTAAAAATATAATAGGTTTCAAGACACACCAAAGAAACTGTAAGACACCCCTAACAATAGAAAAAATTAACAATTAAGTTTAAGGATATAGCAAAAGCCAATTTATAATACACATAAATAATTTATAAAATAAACCTTCAATCCTGGAAAACTAAAATGGGAAGACCTCACTGAAGGGGGACATAGATAAAATGAGGGCTCACAGCAAATGGGCTGACCCTCAACAGTTGCCCAATGACTAAGCCACGAAAAGACAAATTAGGGATACTATTACATAGAGATTTTCTTTTCTGCTCATGAATTCCGTTCTGTTTAGATGAATAT